AAGGGAAAATGCTTCCAACCCTGGTTTCCTACCGAACCCCGCGCCTCCAGCCTCAGCGGTCTTCCTTCCGGACTCCCCAGAGTCCCTCAGGGCAGGGATTATTTCTTTGTCCTTCCTGATATTTGACAAATGCTGATGATACTCAATAAGTAAAAGCTTATGGAAAGAATGAACAGATCCTCAACACTAGCATTTCAAGCAGAAACTGTCTCTGTCCTAGTTCTGCAGGGCAATTCTGTGAGAGTTCACAAGGGAACCTGTAAAGGAATATAATCACTGTGTGCAAAGACTAAAAGTGGGCGGGTGTCCTCTGCAGAGTCAGCAACAACCAGGTTCGCCTGAGAGGATCCTCACATTGCCTAAGGGATTGATAATGAGCAATGAGATTGGAACTGGGTCCCCAAGGTAAAGGGCACATTGCAAAAAGGCTCTGAAACACTGGAGTCAAAATTTCCCCCTTATTCTATATCTTAAAATTTGTCACACTTAAAAAAAAAAAAAGATCACTTGGAATGTCACTGACCAATGTAGCAAGCAACCCAATTCATTAAGCATCCCTGTAGCTGTGCTTCTTGGTAGAAAAATATATTTTCTCCCAATCAATGCTCTGGAACATTCTGGTGCATCATAAAGAGCGTATTTGGTATGTAATTCCTGGGTTTCTTCACCCTTCTTGGCCAACCATGCATTAGAGAAGTGCAAGGTCAGTTTGGGGGTGCGGGGAGACACATTCACTGATATGGTTCAGAGGAAGATGAACAAGTAACCCGGCAGTCCTGAAAAGGTCTTGGGAAGGGCACAGATGTAAAAAAAAGTTTGGGGAACCAGTGACTGCATGAACTGATGAAAGGAAACAGCTGCTAAGAAACCAGGAGTAAAAAGGTATTAAAGGAGCAATTCTTAAGAATGCTGACCCTGAGAATGACAGGTTCTCATTCTGACAGATTAGAGTGACAATGTTTTGATTCTCGAGTTTCTAAATCATTGACTCGATGAACTTAAGTCTTAGCAAACTCCAGGAGACAGTGAAGGACAGGGAAGCCTGGTAAGCTGCCATCCATGGGGTTGCAGAGTTAAGACACAACTTGGCAACTAAACAACGAGTCAACAGGCAGACAGCAGTAAAGTAGCAAGTACAAGAATAAGACAGGTGCACTTTGAATGGGAATGACCAGTGGCCCCGTGGAAAAAGTCAGGATCTGTAGCAAGGTTCTGGCTGGTTTATTTTTGCACAAAACAAGCACAAGGGAGAAAAAAATGAAGTAATAGGTAAGCCAACCACACACTATAGCAAACAATGGAACAATTTAAGGTAAACAAGAAAATCAAGCCAAAATCTGACTCAGAAAATAAGCTGCTTAGGAAGCCAAGAAGACTTAGCTTTCCAATGATTTGATTTCTTAAGAGTAACACCTGGGTATAGAGATAGAGAAAAAGACCACAATTTTTTGTCATGTTTTTTTTTTAAAGGTGGAAGTAGGGGCAATGTAAAGAAATCATGAAGAGTGCTATCAGAGAGTCATAAACATTGGCCTCTTCATACCAATTAAATGGATTTAAAGACCAAGAAATAAAATAACACCACTATTACAACAAAAGCTACAGTTATGATGGTGCTCCAGGAAGGTGAGTCTACTGAATGTCTGGTCATTTAGCACAATTTTCAAAGGGTGAAAGCCACTGCTGCTTCTCCCTCAATCCCCAACCAACCCCACACCTAATGATTTCAATAAGGTTCTAGAACTTTCCATGTAGGTCTCATGGATAGAATGGGAAAACATGGTGGGAGGAAAAGAAAGTACAGTGAGCTAAATCCATGGGGGACTGAACAAGGTACTTGTCTTATTCAACACAATTATCAAGGATCAAAAGACATGAATGGTAAACCAAGCTTGCAAGTAGTTTGGAGTGGAAAAGTGACAGCTCATATCACTGGTTGCATAATCCTCCCTTCCCTACCATCTCCTCCTTTTATGCCTAGATCAGCATTTCCCAAAATGTGTTCCACAAAACACTGACCATGGAAATAAGACCTGAAAAAATGGTTTCCCAAGTTCAAAATATTTGGAGAATTCTGCATTTCCTTCCTTCTTATTGTTATCAAAGGCTCTTGAGAAATCTCATATTAATAAACAAATCTCTGTCTTGATTTAACATAAATGTTTCCCAAACATCTGCTCTTGAAAAAACTCTCACACAGTAATCATTAACTGAGGATGGCCCAAAGCTTAGGCCCTAAGCCATGTTCAGATTTCCTCTGCTAACAAAATGATCCAATCCCCTTACTTACTACTGCCTCATCACTTTTCTTCCTCCAACTACCCTATTAAAAAAAAAAGAGGGAGAAAACTTGATGCTTCCTGCCTCCCACTCATTTCTCCATCATTTGAAATCTGGCCTCAGCCTCCAGTGAACGTGTTCCCATGAGGTGATCAATTGCACAAGCAGCGGAACTAATGGCTCATCTTCAGCTCCTCGATCCCTCTTCAGGGTCACAAAAGAATATTCATGTTTCTTAAATCTCTCTTCCCTCAGCTTCCACAACATTGTGTTCTAGCCATCTCTGGGACTATGTGATCTCTGGTTCCTCCTTCTCTTTCTAACCCTTAAATTCTCAGAACAATTCTCACTTCTTCTCTCTTGGGTTATCTGCACCTTCATGGATCCACAATTCTCATCCCACACCCCTTCCTTGACCTCAAATCCACATTTACAGACAGCTTTTCAACTTGTTCACTTTACTTTTCTCCAAGGACTATACATTCAATATACTCCAACCAGTTCACCAGTTTCCCCACCAAATATTCTCCTCTTCCTGTCCTCTTGATTCCTGTTATGGAATCACCGTTCCTGGAGGGCAAGGAGGACAGGAGAGTCAGCCGCTTTCCCCTCAGCCTGCACAGAGCACTCTGAAGAGGCCTCCAAGTACCTATCACAGTGGACATGAACTACTTAACTCACTACTGAGATCTGAAGCTCCATGAGTCATCTGTGTGGCCACTGTGCTAAGAGACAGAAGACACTTAACAAGCTTAGAAAAACAGATAAATCCTTTGAATCAGACTCAATTTACCACTCATTCTCCAAACTTCAATAATAAACCACATTCTCTTAAACTTCAACAAAAGCTCTGGCTTCTTTCCACGTTAACCTTCATCAGACTCAAAGGAAATCCCAAAACTAAACTGAAACCATCTCCTAACTGGGCAAGCAAGCTGCCAAGGCTACCAGAGCAACATTTCTAAAATGCCACTCTAACACATCACTCCTTGGCTCAGACACCTCGTGTACCTCCAGAACACAGTCCAGACCCTCTGCACGCTATCACTGCCTTCCACGTCTGGATGTCTGCTATCTTTCCATCCTTCTCTTCTACAGCTCCCTGTGTTCTAGTCTAGGGGTAGTCCAGGAAACCCAACGCCTGTTTTCTCCTGCAAGTAAAATTTTATTGGAATACAGCTAAATGACATTTGGGGCCAAACAATGAATTATTTGTTGTAGGGGGCTGTCCTGTGTACTAGAATGTTTAATAGGATCTTTGGACTCTACCCAATAGATTCCAGTAACATTTCCCCAAGGTGACAACCAAAAATGTCCTCAGATGTTGCTAAATGTCTCCTGGGGGACAAAACTATCCCCAGCTAAGAAATACCAGTCTAGAGATTTTCAAGCGTCAGTTAACAGTAAGATGTCATTGCTAATAAAATACAGACCATATAGTAATTGTAGTACAGTGTCCAGATGAAGAGATAAGAGTCGCATGGTATTCGGTGCCAGCTGACTCACACTTGTGAGACTGTGTTCAATTACAAATTTTAAGGACTCTGGAAAACTGGAACTCATACAATCAAAAGTGACCAGGATGATGAGAAACTAGGGGAAGATGTCATAAGAGGGACACTAAAGTCAGTGGAGAAGATGTAGAGAAACCCACGACCTTTAACTACCTTGATGGGTTGCCCTCTGTGGAAGGAAGGTTTAGCTCACTGCTCAGAAAGGACGATCTAGAACCAGCGGGGAGCAGCTGCAGGAAGGCAGATTCTTGGCTTCATATAAGCCAAAGCTTTCTAACAATCAGAGCTGGCCAACAAACTTTGTATTAGGCTGAATTGTGGAACACTGTGCTCTCATCATCCTGGAGGTATTCAAGCAGAGACCAGAGGAACTGTTGCCCAGAGAGATTCCTGCATGAGGTGGGAGGTATGACACGATGGTCTCACTAGGTCTCCCTTCCAGCTCTGAGATTCTAAGCCTAGCAAAGGAAAGCCATATGCCACGAATAATCAAATTCTACAGTTTCAAGACCTGAATTACAGTAAAAGAGAAAAATATTTTGCGAAACGATTTACCCGATGGCTGTTTAGCAACATCTGACAGTTAGTCCCGGCATTGCAACTACCAGGGATCTTCGAGTTGACCTGCAATTAGTTCCTGGAAAATGTATATCACTACCTTTAAACCACATCTTTTACTCTGCTAATTATCACCACTTTGTATCATGCTTTACCGTTTTCAAAGCTTTGTAATAATGAGTTACCTTATGCACACTATCTAAATATGAGCATGAAAACTTTTAGATATACTGCCTCTTGCTTGAGTTTCTTACAAAAGAAAGCTAGCCTTTATTATCCACTACACGTTCACTAATAAAGCACACTCCAGTAAACACTCATTTCTCCAAAACAAAGCATTTTTACACAACGCAGTTATTTCCGCATCAGAGACATGAATTTACCTCCATGAAATGTCTATTTTATTTATGATCTGAGGAGGAAATTTGGAAAAGTAGCAGTTTAGCTTTCCCAGATTTCAACGTAGCCATACACACTGAAAGTTTCAGAAAAGAGTCACAATAAAACATGAAGCATACACCATTAAGGAAAGCCACTGTAGGTCCTAATTCCAGGGGCTCTGATACTCCCCGGCTGAAACTGCCATCTAGTGTGGTTTAAGGACCCTCCCCACAGCCAAACCGGGCCCTCACCCACTGCTTTACTTACTTCTTTACGTTTTGTTTCTGGACATTCAGACTGCAGAGTGAGAGTTGCACCTTCAATATTTCTTGGCATGGGCGTGGAACCAGGGTTTATTGTTAAATGGATCTGATCTGGTGAGATAATGTGTTGCACATAACCCTGGGACATTGCTTCATGATCTATTAGATGAAAGCCCTCTTCACCCCCTACTAGAAAAGGCAAGTGTTCTCCGCACTGTCCATCGTCATCTTCATCCTCCAAAGTGCCAGGGTCCTGCTCGATAAGAACAGTCGTCCTATCGTAAACAGTTCCAGATGAGGAAGGCACCAGTCCGTTCTTCTCCACAAACCTGAGCATCTTGTCATCGGGGGTCAGCTCATCTTCCTCTACCTCAAAGTAGCTGATGCTGTCGTCTGGACTGTGGTCCCCCATGGTTCAGTTGTGCTCAGCCCAATTGTGAGAAATGGAAAGGTAGTGACCTGTCTACAAGAGAACAAAGCCAGAATCAGAGTCATACCACAGGACCCAGGGACCTCACCTCCACAGCAGTCACAAGACTCTTTTTTCCTCGCCATATAAGAGCAGGCCAGAGTAATGAAAAACATCTTCTTTGGGAATTTTTTCTTTAAGTTGAAAACTATCAAGTCATTTTGAAGGAAAAACAATGCCTTTTTTAAAAAAATGGAAGTAATGGGAATTCCCAGTGGTTAGGACTGCAGAGCGCCCAGGTTCAATCTGTGGTCTGGGAACTAAGATCCTACAAGCCCCTTAGTGCGGCCAGAGAAATTTTTTAAATAAATAAATAAAATAAAAATTTTAAATGGAAGTAATAAGTAGCAGCTCATAAGACCTTTCAAATGTGCCTTACTGCCAAACACTGTGACGGTTAGTCAAAATACTTAAGGGGAAACAGGGACAAACTGTTTCAGGGTTGAGTTGTTATAAATCTTAAAGAAAGGAAACTCCAAATGAAACAGTGAGGCAGTGAGTCTATGGTGGAAGAAGCAGGACTTTGAAGGTAGGGTCACCTAGCACAAATCCTGGCTTTCCTACTTACTGCCTGGATAACTTTCTGTGCCTTACTTTTCACTTACGTAGGGTGGGACTGGTAATTCCTGTTCTCACAAAACTGTTATGCAGAGTAAAAGACATAAGGTATGTTAAAACGCAATGTCTGACTACAGCAAAGAATCAAGGGTGAATCTGTTCTCTCCATCCCAGAACAGATGTTTCAGTTTCCAGGTAGTGGAGCTGACCCCTAATCAGGCATATCTAATGAGATCACTTTATCTATTTATCTCCTAAAACAATCTGGTGTCCACTAGAAGCTAAGTTTTATAGGGTGCTCTCTGAAATGAGGGAATGATGAGTCTTATTTTCGTCCCTAGGCATAAGGAGTTCAGGAGATGTCAGTTAAATGAATGAAAGACTTGCAGATAAACCCTCTTGGAAGGATATACTCTCTTGGGAAAAATACCAGACTTGAAGTATTCCTGTTCTGGAATAGTGATTCTTCTTTTACCTGCAAACACACCAGTTCCACAAACGCGGGTTTGGCAAACAGAATAGAGAATTTACAAATAATTAGTACATCACTTTTAGTTTTCAGTCTGGTTTTGCACTTTATCTTTCTCTTCTGCTTCTGATCAGAAAGTGAACCTTTACTCGGCAGGGCGGCTAGACACAGTGGTAGTCACCATAGACAGGCCAGGGGATCTGATCCGGGAGGAACCGGCCCGACCCCTTGCCCTGGCTTACGCAACCCGGTAGATGCACATTTCGCTGCATCTGAGAGGAGAGATAAGAGCACCGGGGGCCCCACTGGGCTGCCCCAACACCACAGGCGGCAACGCGGAGACCAACTGTCCGGAACAAACAAGACCAGGAGCTTTGAGGGTGGCAAACGAGTACAAACGGAGCACCCTTAAGACGAGACTGGGAAAAGGAACCTGTCTGGGATAGTCCCCCGTCAAAGGCTACAAGAAAAAACCCGAAGTCAGGCTGGGGGGTTCCAAGCCGGGAGAAGAGGGGCAGGGTCCGGATCTCCATGGAAACAGGGGAGGGGGCTGGATACTCATCCCCATGGAAACGGAGGAGGGGTGGGGTCCCTACGGTAACCGGTCTGGGGTCCCTACTGGAAAATGCTTCAGAAGGAAGCCTAAGTCCCGTGCCTCCCGGGAAGTCCCCAGCCCAGGCCGCGTCTAGTTTCGCCTTTTACCTCCGCGGTTCTCGGCAACGGCGGCGGCGGCAGCAGCTTCTCCCCTCCCCAGCGGCACCATGATTGCCCCCACCTTCCCCGAACGTCACTTCCGCTTCCGCTTTCCGGAGGAAAGAGAAGATACGGGCTCCGCCTCCCATTGAAGCTTCTGGTTGGTTTAGTCAGTGTGGGGGCTGCGCTCGAGCCTCCAATTGGCGAGCGCGAAAGGGGCGGGGTGGGGCGAGACCTCTCTGGGCCGCGAATTCCGCCCGCGCGGTGGAGAGCCTGCCTCGTATTCCGCTTGCGCGGGTTCGGAGCTCCGCTCTAGACGCACCAGACGAGACGAAGAGGGGTCAGACCCGCTAATCACTAACCTCAGCGGGGTTTGCGCTGCCGTCCCCTTGGCAGCCGCAAGCACGACGGGAAGGACCAGTTAACCGCTGAATTCCGGCCGGGACCGCAAGGGGGAAACCTGGAAAGTTGTGGCATTCCCGCGTTTCTCCTGTAGCTCCAGCTTCCCCTCCTCACCCAAAAAAAGTTAGTAGGCCAGGAGGGCTCCAGAAAGGAAGCCTGGACCCAAACGGCAGAAATGAGAGTATTCCAAGCCTGGCCAGAGGGCGCCGCCACCTCTTCCCCTTCTCACAGGCTCTCCCTCCTCACTCGCCTGCCCAGGCCGTTGTCTCCCAAGTTTTTCCACTCCAGTGGACTGCCGGCTTCCTCCGGACACGCACCCGGGCCGGGCAACGCCACCTACTGGCCATTCCCTTTCTTTAACCGTTCACATTGTCAAAGAGCCTGCCCGTATCTAAATCACTACACTGCCAAGGAGTGGTGGTGTTCCAAGAAACGATTTTGAACGTGCCTTCATTCTGCCTCAGTCTTGTAAATGCCTCTTAGATCTAGCTGTCAGAACGTCTTATCAGCTACAACCGTCTTCCCTATAAAGCTACTTCTCTTAGAATATTGAGTGGGACAACCCTCAGAAATCAGGTCAGGGGTCAAGGGTTTGGAGCCATGCCTGTACTGACTTTTCCTTGAAAAATGTGAATAGTGGTTGTTATCACCAGACTGCCAGGCAAATAGCTCTCTGGCCCCTGACCAGCTGTTCCCGTGCTTAAGCCACAAATGTCCAGCTGCTGAGACCTGCCATCTCTAAAAAGATAAAAACAAGCAACCACTGTTAAAAATATATTTATCATTAAAATATATTACACAGAGGGAATGCATTATATACAGTTGGAGGATTTGTTGGTCTGGTAAACCAGTTGTTTCACCAGAACACCAGTTTCTTTAGCATTTTCATTTTCAAGCCACAGTACTGCCCTTGGAGGCTGAGTGGCCAGTTCCAGAGTTGTTGAGCCATATTTATGAGTGGGAAGCGGGGCAGGGTTTACATATGTGTACACCCATGTCCTTGAACAGAGCGCTGAAAGCACCTGGAGAGGTTGTGTGGCCTGTTTATCCAGCAGCTTCCATTTACATTCTTTGTATCTGCATCCTCACTCATCCTTCAGGACTCCAAAGTTTGTTCAAATATCTGATCGTGGGGAGCTTGGCCCAAGCTACAGGGAAGGCACCGTATGCCTCGGAAGCAGGCTGAGTACAAGGAGTATGGCTGTTTAAACATTACCAAAAAAAAAAATCTGTTAAAAAACTAAAGTTGAACGCTGCATGTCAGTTCTATTGTGGTGGATTTCCCCTCAGTGTCTTCACAGCTCGCAGCAGCACTGAGTGTGATGGTCATGGTGGAGAGGGCGGTCTGGGCTCAGGAACAGGCAGCTGCCACTCCGGAGTCCCTGTGAGCTCATATCCTCTTAGGGCAGCTCTGGAGCTAAAACAGGTGGGGCTGTAACTGGCTGCCTCAGGCAGAATAGGAGAGGAGAGAGAGAGGCTCAGGGTGAGTGAGGAACTGGTGAACAAATTCTTGAGCCTTCTTCTTTTCTGCCATTTCAAGCTTTTGGTGACCAGCTGGGTTTCGAAGCAGCAGGCTACCAAATATGCTGGCTGCATGAAAAACAGAAAACACACAGAATTCAGCAGAAGTACTACATATTCTCAGAGTATGTTCTAAAGAGTGGGGAGGGGTGCCCCCGTGGCAAGTTTCTGCTTTAAAATAACTATCTGAGGGTAAACTTTGCCCAGAGCTTGAGGTTTTAGTTCCACTGCAGTAGACTTGGGACCTTCCTCAACCACACTTCTTGTAATGAGTCAGTTTGCAGAGTGCTTTCCACACATCCTTGGCTTACCTAGAATATTATCATCCAAATGGTTTTTTGCTGAATTTTTCAGCAATTCTTGCAAAAACGCCATCAAATAGGTGAAGACATTTCTGTGACACGCAGGAAGGGTAGTAATGACCTGAGAGAGGGAGAATTGATATTTGTCTTTTTGTTCATTCAATCATTTCTCCAGTGCCTGTTATATTCCAGGAATTGAGTATACATGATCCAGGTACATGAGAAAGACTGTGTGTAGAAAACCCTGATCACTTGTCACAGGTGCCAAAAGAGAAGATCAAGTGCTACATGATTTCAGAGGTCAAATTTCTAACTGCATGTTCTCAAAAGTCAAAAACATCTCAGTTGGGTCTTGAATATAAATGAAGATTGGACTTGCAGAGGTAGGGACTAGAGCATTTAGGGCAAAAGAAAGTGTAGAAAAAGGCAAGACAGTGAGACAAGAAGAGAGAACCCATTGTGAGAAGTCAGTTTTGGTAAGAGCACTACTGTTTGAACAGGCCCTAAGCAGGCAGGAGGAGAAGAGGACGACAGAAGATGAGATGGCTGGATGGCATCACCGACTCGATGGACATGAGTTTGAGAAAACTTCAGGAGTTTGTGATGGACAGGGAGGCATGGCATGCTGTGATTCATGGGGTTGCAAAGAGTCGGACACGACTGAGCGACTGAACTGAACTAAACTGAAGCCTGGAACGGTTGATCAGGCTAGAATTCAAAAAGTACTCTGGCTGCCTGCATTTCAGAATTGGTGGCAAAGCAATTTATTGCACAAAATATATTTCAAAAGAGATTCTGATTCAGAGGAGGTGGAGTAAGGCTCAGGAACCTGTATTGTTGGCATATTTTCTAGATTATTCTGCTCTGGCAGGTTACTTATGTGTATGACTAGGTGAGATCATAAAAGTCCCAAATACTGGTCTAAGAAAATTCTTATTTGGCAATGGAGAGCCTTTCTGATGAACGTGGACCTGATGAGAACTTTTGAACCCCAAATCTAATGGCAGTACACAAAACCAATTAGTAGAAGCAGAGCATGAATGCAGGGTTCTGAACCAAGGAAAGTGGAACTAGAATGGAAGAAAGAAGAAGAGTGACAGAGTAAGGGGATCGTACATGTGGAAGGTGAGACGAGGAGGAGAAAGAAATGACTCCGTTTTCTGGGCTGAGTCAGTGGAATTATGGTGATGCCATTAAGATGAAAAGGGACATGAGAGGAAGAATGGCTTTGGGAAGACTTGGAGTTGAGTTTCTAAGACATTGCATTTGGGGGATGGTAGCCACTTTGTTCCTGTAGGCCCCATGAGACCCAGGGTTACAACATGAACACGGTGATGCTCCATGTGTGCCCTCACCTGTTTACTTGCTGTGAGGTTGCCGGAACACTCCAAGCAGTTGCGGTAGGCGCTGTAACAGATGACAGGCTCTGGCAGGCTCTCCAGGAAAAGCAGCAGGGCTTCGGCCACGGAATGATTGCTAGCAGCTTTGGGCCCATCGTTAAGGAACAGATGACGCTGCTGCCATGGTCACCATTAGGAAAAGGCCCGGGAGCCAGCACATGCCAGAGTGCTGCGTGCCCAGCCAGGCTCTCTGCTCAGCGCTCAGATGCCAGACTGACATCATGAAGGGGCCAAACTGTTAGCTTAGCTGGGCTCTCCTAAATTCCTGACATATTGGTTGCTTAAGGTTGTAAAGTCTTCTCTATGCAAACTTTAAATAAGAAAAACATGCCAGCTGAGGTCACAATGTCTGATTTTGAGCCTTAAAATATCACCCCTTCCTTTTGCTCACTTCTCTTACTCATATGCACACACACATATACACACAGGCACACAAACATCTGAAAGGATACAGAGGTTATCAATCGTCCCAGTATCTAAACAGTCCCTGATATGATCAAATTCCGACCTCAGGCCTGGCTGCTGAAACAGATCTTCCTGAAAAAGGGAAGAGAGTCACAAAATAATTCTATTCTCAGAAAGGCAGCAATGATTTCCTGACCTAGAAACATAATCACCAGCAGGGTGCAGAAAGAGAGAGCATGTTGAGGCTTTTGAATCACCCTAGTAGACAATGTGATATAGGTTGATGTGGCTAATTCATCTCTCAGGCCTTCCCAGTCATGCTCCCATAACAGGTCTTAAGCACGATAATATATCTATTATGAGAGAATTCCCTGGAGTCCAGTGGTTAGGATGTCATGATTCCATTGCAGGGGGTGCAAGTTCAATCCCTGGTGATCTGACCGAAGGGAAAACTTCAAAGTAGCTATGGTTCCTGCAGTGTTAAGAGGGATTAACTAGAAAGAGGGAAGAAAAAAAAAAAAAACTGAAGAAGATATATCATTTATAAGATGGAGAAAGTTAAAAAGGTTCCTCAGTGCTTTGAGAAAATGAGATTATGGCAATAAAGGTATTTCCATGAGCCCTAGGATTCCTTATATTAATTTTGTTTTACAAAATGACTCAATGCCCAATAATTGTGAACAGTAATAATATTATATGCATTGCTCAAAAGTTACATCTGAAAGGAGCTCTATAGAGAAGGTAGACTAGCACAGTCCTTAAGAAGGTGACTTCTTTGGTTCCCTGGGTTCAAATCCCGATCCTGCCCATGTGTCAGCTCTGGGACCCTGGCCAAATTATTTCATATTTCTGAGCATCTGTTTCCTCATTTGAGAACTACTGTGAGAACTAAATGAGGTTGTGCTGCAAAACACTTAGAACAGAGTTTGGGACACTGTAATGCTCAATAAATCTGAGGGGAAAAGCAGACAGAGACTATGCTAAGAATGTACACTGCCCTGAAGTGGCAGAGTTGCTGTAGATCAGAGTTTCTGTGGGTCTCCCTGGGCCCCAGACAAACCAGTCAGTG